ATTCGGCCAATCACAATGCATTGGATAGCTGGCCAATCACAGTACACCTCGCTTTTTCAGACCGATGAGTTTTGTAAAAATCGACGCGTTTCAGAAAGGCGGGGCATAGAGGAGAAACAATAATGTTCAGTATGTGGAAAATAATGTGTTTTTTTAACCTTAAACCGCATAAACACATTTCATTACACCAAATACACAAAATAATGTTCTTTTTAGCAGCATCATATGATCCCTTTAATAAAATTAAATCTGTCCTCAATAAAGGGGTAGTTCACCCAAAAATAAAAATTCTGTCATTTTCTCACCCTCAAGCGGTTCCAAACCTGTATGAATTTCTTTCTTTTCCTGAGATTTTAAGAATGTGAGACTTTCATGTAGCGAATTGATGAATAAGATCAGAATGAACATATTTATTCATTTGTATTAAATTTAAGTCATTATTCTGTCATTTTTAATTGACAGTCATTTCACTGCATGTCATTCATTTATGCCAAAATTCTTAATTAATTTTCAAAGTCACGCTGTCAACGCGTTATAGAGTTTGATAGTGCGTGTGAATGAGTTTGACAGTGTGTGCGCGAGAGAGTTTGATAGTGTGTGCTCCAGAGAGTTTGATGATAGTGTGTGCGCGAGAGAGTTTGATAGTGTGTGCTCGAGAGAGTTTGATAGTGTGTGCTCGAGAGAGTTTGATGATAGTGCGTGTGCGAGAGAGTTTGATAGTGCGTGTATGAATGAGTTTGGTAGTGTGCGCGAGAGAGTTTGATAGTGCGTGTGAATGAGTTTGGTAGTGTGCGCGAGACTGTTTGATAGTGCGTGTGAATGAGTTTGGTAGTGTGCGCCAACAACTGTTTTTGGTTACACACATTCTTCAAAATATCTTATGTGTTCAGCAGAAGAAAGAAATCCATACAGGTTTGGGGTGAATACTTAATTAAGGGTGAGTAAATGATGAGAGTCAAAACAAGAATGAGGGGGCTTAAAGTAGCTACATATACTTATTACATATAGGCTAGGTTTCAACAGAGTTTACAAGCAATCAATAAACTTAGGCCTACCAGTTAATGGGCTCAACAGATGAACTTTTACCTGAAGAAATTACTATGGCAAAAGTAGGCAGCCTAGCCTACCTTTCAGTTCACCGATAAAACGTAAGTAGCCTACTGTCGTTATTCATTTTATTACAGATTGAAACAACACAAAACTTTTAGTGCTGTGTTTAAAACGTCTTCAAAATAGTTGACGGGTAGCAAACTTTGCTAGGGGCGCCGAAAATTGGGTTGCGCTCGAAAACCTCACCAGATTTCGGGCAGATAATAACTATTCTAAACATATATGACATAATTTTTCCACTTTGTCCAATATGCTGCGTATACATAAATGAGCTGTCGTTATTTGTTAAACGCGAAATGTTATCCCTTGTAAAACACGCGTTTTCTTTAGCATGCCATTTTGTGTCTGGTTAATTCTCGCAGAGTTGTGCTCCGAGACAAAAACGCTTTCTTAGCTCGCACTTTTGGTAGTGTGACATTGAGCCAAAGACGACAAACCAAATCGTTAAACATGTTAGTACATTCGCAAAAGGGTGTGATAAACGCACACGGTTAGGAGTAAAAACTCCCCGCACTGGGTGAGAAACCCTCGGATTATCCCTCATTTCGCCCCGGGCTTTTGGCTGCCGAGTCTGACTGGACCTGCGGGCTGCTCACCGGGCCGGATTGGACCAGGCGCCCCGAGGCGCGCTCTGTCCAAGTCCCTCAGGGACACGAACCAGTACAACTCTTACCCTGCAGCTCTGCTTTGACTGTGGATTATAGGAGAAACACTGGTATCTCCGTAAACACTCAGACACATGCATACGCAGAGAAAGGCCAGACGCTCTCAGCCCGGGGCAACAAGATATGGAGCCCGTGCTATTTAGATTGATGCAGGCCACTTTGATTTAAAGCTCTCACCCAGCACTTTTTATGTGTGATAAGGAGAAACAATTGAACACTGTGTGGTTCTTAAAGGAAGCACTGTCATTAAAGGTCAAGAGGGGGTCTTGAATATATAATGTTGAAACAATATCAAGCCTTTGAGCACAAGAATTGTCATCTATTGTTATATAAGGTGTCAGTCTGAATTGTTTTTACACACTGGCTGGAAATGTGATCAAGTGAACATGTGCTGTTGTTACCCTAAGGAACAATTTCGACCTGATTTGACTCCTAAAAGTATATTATTTGTATAGTATAGTCATTGCTTTAGTCACAATATAATAAACAATATATTTGATTTTATTAAAATAATTTAGATGTTATCACATGAAGTTACTCCTCAAAACTGAGCATTTCACAAAAAGACACATTGTGCATTTATTGTTAAATATAATTTATTTCAATACCACACAAAACATTTATATGACACTTTATAATTATTTTAACATATCAGAATGGAGGAGTTCGGAAACATCAGTAACCGTGTGGACACAGTTAAAGGTGATTTTTTTGGAGGACTTTTAACCACATTTATGATAGTGAGAAAAGTTTGCCATTATGGAACATTAGGGCAAAATAGTTCAGAGACCCAGGAGGTAATTTGATTCAAAAATGAGATGCACAAAGATGCAAAGATTACTTTTTCACATGATAATAGTCATCAGATGGTCTCATGACTTTTCTCAGTTTGTTTCTGTTATTGGGCAGCAGTGGCAGCACCCATGCGCAGAAGCTCTTTCCTATGTGTAAGAATGACGTCGAAACTGGACTGGAGGCGGTTTTGCTGCTCCTGGACACGATTTTGTAAGGTGCGAACCCACCGAATAAGGGCCAGGCGACGATACATGGTCAGCTGGACCTGATGCTTCTCCATCTCCTGTGCCTTAAACCTCTCCCGGTCCTGTAGCGTCCAAACAGCCTCCATAAGGTCCGGCAGCTCAGAACAGGGGTCGATATTGGAGTCGGACGAGCTGTCTTCAACTGCATCAGTGCCCTCCAGGCTCTCTTGACGCCGCTCTGCCTTCTTATCCACACGGTTTTGGTTTTTCAGGGTGTCCGCAGTCGCATTCCCATTGTCTGCTGTTGGACGTTCATGGCAGATTTGATCCCAGATGGAATTGTGGGCCCCTACGGCCCCAATGTCACCACTCTCTGTGCTGAGTGGGGAAGAGCTTTCGGACCTGTAGCTGAATTCAAACTCTTCATCACTGTCAGCCCAGTCTATCACTCCATCCTCCTCTTCGTCATCATCCAGTAGGTCCTCCACTTTCTCACTCTCTCCCAATGCCTTCTCCTTTTCATCATTCGTCACTCTCCTCATCTCTTCATCAAACTTGCCTTCCTCTGCGCCATCTGGAGGCACTCTTCCGCCCATATCGTCTCCACTTTCAATCTCAGGAAGAGGCTCCAAAGAGCTCCAGCATGGCAGATGAGACAAGGGGGAGAGGGGTCCAGGTCCATAATGGTTGGCAGAAAGAGGCAGATCACGGACCAAAGCTCTTGGACGCACCTGGTTGCGATTTTCATCTCCTGTCATGGAGTCATCATCCTGCCCCAGGAAGTTAAAGTTACCATCTTTCTCACATCTCTTTTGACTGTTGGTATGAATGCGCAGAGTTAACTGTGGTCCAACCAGAGCTCGACTTCCAAGGACAGGGTTCATGGCCCGATCTTGCTGAAGCATTTTCAGTTTTGTTTGAGATTCACTCGCTCTTTGAAAAGGGCAGATAAAAAAAGAGAGTTAGTGGTTTGACAGAAGGATGCAAAAGCAAAGTAATACAATATATTGTTATATTTTGGCTGCAAATATAGTTTCAGACAAAACAGAAAAGTGCTGAAAGGCCACTAACACACTGTAAATAATATATGTGGCTAAAATCCCTCGCTAATAATGGTTAAAATAATACATAAAATATTCAGTGGTGCAATTCCACGGCATGTTCTCTATTTCGGTGACATGAAATATTCAGATGTCCTCTCACAGATATAGCCACGTAATAACTTAGGGGCCTGTCAATCACTCGGCGTGACAGGCGCTGCGCGGCCATGTGGTGCTGAAGAACAGCAACCAGAGATTCAGGGTTGTGCGCCTCAGGCGCAAGTAATAAAATGATTGAGGACATAAAATCTGCAAGTAGTTCAATTCCGCCCCAAGAACAGGAACGAAAATTTTGTGCTAACATGAACGGCTCGGTGCATTTCGATATATTTAAAATTCCTGCTGTAATTTACTCGACGATTTATGCAATTCGATTGGAATAGCTCGAAGCACCACGTTAAAATAAATATATAAGATGCATGAACGAAATCAATGAACATTAAACCACTAATCAAACGCATTTGTTGGAGCTCGATGCTCGACTAGCTGCCTAACGAGCACAAAGGTTATCAAAATAAATGTTATCGCGGATTTAGATAATCAGCAAAAACAAATCAACAGTCAATCGCAAAAGCCAAGAAAAAACACAGATTAATAGAATCCAGGTAAATAGAGGTTGGATTACGTAAGAGCGGCGTTAGTCTCACCCTATCTCTCGGCTTCGCTCGCTCGGCCGGGAACGCGGCAAAAAACAGCAGCGCTACATCCACAGAGAGCCTAAACCACGCTCCAATTTTATTTAGGCGTTACATAAATGTCTGATTGACAATAACATTTGAGAATCAATTATTAGAGGGCATTGTCTTACGGTTTGTTGTCCGTTTTTCGTCCGCGAATAAGATAAAGTGTCCTCCCTGTTTTCCCCTCCTCCGACCGACCCTCTCTAGCGATGTTAATCTGATTCCTCCTCTCTCTCCCTCCCATCCGCTTTCTTTTCCCATGTACTGCAACGGACCACTGGGCTATGACTCACTTCCTAAACTGGGAAGGGACCACATAGCTGGAAACCGATGAAATTAGTGGAAAATAGTGTGGGAAAACAAATTCAAAGCAAAGTTTGACTCTAAAATGACAACTGTTTGACTTACTATGTGTTTCCAGATCCCTACTATCACTACCACTCGCAAACCATGCATCACACACTGTAGGCAGCGCAATCCTAACAACCTGCGCACTTTGCCTATGTCTACTAATACACTACTTTCTTTTTCGTGAGTGAGTGAGTGAGTGAGTGAGTGAGTGAGTGAGTGAGTGAGTGAGTGAGTGAGTGAGTGAGTGAGTGAGTGAGTGTGTGTGAAGGTGTATATATATATATTTATATACACCTTGCTACGTGTACTGCGTTAGGCTAACCGAGACTTGTCATTTGCACATATATTGTTGCTCTTTTGTTAGTTTTGACTGCTTTTATTGTCCTCATTTGTAAGTCGCTTTGGATAAAAGCGTCTGCTAAATGACTAAATGTAAATGTAAAATGAACAAGGGAGGGGGGCTCTGAATTAAGGCTTGAACCCCCCCAAGAGCGGTCAAAACAAACAATGCAGGGTCTTAAAGTATAAATATAAAAAATATAAAGTCTATATCTATATATATATATATAAATACATATTACTATATATAGGTTTCAACAACAGTGTGCTAAATGAGCAAAAGTCGCGTTCACCTGATGAGGTTTCTATAGCAACAGTAAGTTGCTGCTCGAGCGCTTTTCATTACCGTCAATTCGGGCAGTACATAAAATATACCTACTGTCATTATCATTTTATTATAGAACACAAATATATTACAGGAACCTTTATTGTTTTACTTGAAAGGACGGGCGCCAAACGTCAGATTGCAGGAAAATTAAAAACCTTAAACATTAAGAGTCCTAAAAAGTCTAAAATACCCTCAACGTCATCAGACAAGAGTTAAGGACGACTATTTTACAACCAGGTTAACATCCCTTAATGGAGCTGCAGTTTTGTTGCTGTAGGTCTATAGTGGCTTATCATGAGGCCCTATGTGACTTGTGTTTTTGTGCTTGTACATCAGACAGACTCAGTAAGTACATTCCCTCCCTATCCCATGACAAGCAATTGCTGGCGAAGAAAAGAACTCTTCTCTCCCCCCTCTGTCCAACAACATCCCCATTCAAGTGTTGCACCTTCAGGCTGTCTCTAGTCTCTCCCCCCTTCCATTTCTCAATAATAGCCTTAACACATGAAAAATACATCAAATAAAAAGTCTGCCTGCGGCTTCGTCACATGGAAAATCATCTACATCAAGCAAACAATCTGGGGAAGGAACAGGAATGAAGATGAGAGCAAGAGACAAGAGATGCTTGAAGTTGCTTCATAAAATGAGCTTTAACACTTGCTGTATCAGTTCAAAAATATATCACCTGTAAAACACTACGGGTTAGAAGCAAGTTTATGCCACAAAAAAATAAAAAAAAAAATAAAAAAAAAGCTGGATTGTGTCCCACACATACATGATAACTTGCAGTAAAAGCGTGCCGTAGCCAGAAAACTGAAGCACTTGTTTGGATACGAGCAGCCTGCAGTTATGACCCATTTCCCTCAGTTCAGTTGCATGTCTCTTGTCCGGGCAGTTTGAGAAGTGACAGAGCCCAGAGGGACTCACCCCTGGCACTGCCGTCAAAAGCCACCACTCAGATCCAGTATGGCAGCTACTGCACATTCAACTAGTAGCCCAGAAGCTCGCTCCCCCCCCCACCCCACGTCTTGGCCGGCAACATTGAATTAGTTTTCTAGCTTGACAAGGTCAGTTATCTTCAAAAGAGCATTTCTTTTAGGGATCATTGGTTAAAACAAAATGTGTGATGCGGAGACTCAACATATTGCTGGAACCCAACTCGCATGTTACAAATGAACCCAGAATTATCCAGTGTTTTCTTTGAGCTGATCTCAGTATTCTCTTGACAATATAGTCACAATTCAGTGGCTGTGTTCACCCTGGAGTTTATCTATTAAAAAAAAACAAAAAAAACCCCACACAACTCCAGCTCCAAACTCAGAAGCTCAGAAAGAGCGGATTAAAAGTACTTACAAAATGAGTTAAACATACAAAAAGCAGGAGCTCTCAAGTCAAACCACTGAGACCAAAACATGTCTGGTTAAACTCAAGTTAACTCAGTTTTTGCAGGTTAGATAGAAGAAATTCATAGCCTGAGGGAGCCTGTGCTAAGAGCTCAAGGGTTGACCTTTCAAGCATGGCTCTTGGTCGCAAAACTGCAAACAATATTTTAAAATACATTTTAATACACAATTTATATAAAAAAAATAAAATAACATCACTTAAAAGGAGAAATCACAATATTTACATGATACAAACAGTCTAAAAAGACAAACTTTCAACATCATAGCATTTAGTATGGACAATGGGACAAATATAGTTATGTATTAATTGTAAGTAATACTGGGAAGTTTGGAAGCAACTTCAGTTTTCCAGATAGCTGAAAATACTTCGTGGTGGACCTGTAGGTTTGAGGGAGTTCCCGAGACATGGCCGCTTGGCAGCAGGGCTAAAAGAGTCCATCTGTCCTCTTTTCTTAACCTGAAAAGTTAATTTATTCATTTTTACTCATACTTTAGAAGAGATGTCATATTTAAAAAGCTCATAATACATCATTATACAATAAAACATTTATCTTGAGTGTTGAAGTAATAAGACACCTTGACTTGTAGTCTTTGTCTTAACAATCATTCTAAGACTACAGCGCCATCCGGTGGTAGAACTATTAACTACATTCACGAATCATGCATAAAAGGTAAACTGTTAGCATGTCTTTTGGTTTTACTCCCTTTCCACAAATTTTATTCTAACTCCAAAGTAAAATGTGACCCTGGACCACAAAACCAGTCATAAGGGTCAATTTTTCGAAATTGAGATTTATACATCGTCTGAAAGCTGAATAAATGAGATTTCCATTTATGTATGGTTGTTACAATATTTGGCCGAGAAACAACTATTTGAAAATCTGGAATCTGAGGGTGCAAAAAAATATATATATATTGAGGAAATGGCCTTTAAAGTTGTCCAAATTAAGTTCTTAGCAATGCATATTACTAATCAAAGTTTTAAAGGGGTCCTATTATGCTTTTTCACTTTTTAAATTTTAGTCAGTGTAGTGTGTATGTTTGGGCATAAAAAAAGATCTAGAAAGTTACAAATCTCAAAATCCACTCCAAAGGGAGATATTTCATTTAAAAAAAAATCCTTTTTCAAGAACTACAACGATCGGCTCATTTGGACTACAGCGTTTGTTTTCCGGTCTTTGTGATATCACAAAGCGGCTCATTGGAATACCATTACAAAGAATTCCCGCCTACAGAAATTCGAATGGTTGGGGGGTGGGGAGGGGCGAGGTTGTGGTTAGAAAGCTTGGTTGAGTGAGTGCATGCTATGATAGAAAGCAACCAAGTTTGTGTGGCCCGAAGTTAAATCTTATGGGAAAATGGCCCCAAGTTGTCATATAGCATATAAAGATCCATAGAACCACTGCAGACAACACAATGCAGGACTATTTCAGACAACTAAAATGTATTGTTTTCTAATACTAATCAAAGTTTTAAAGGGGTCCTATTATGCTTTTTCACTTTTTAAATTTTAGTCAGTGTAGTGTGTATGTTTGGGCATAAAAAAAGATCTAGAAAGTTACAAATCTCAAAATCCACTCCAAAGGGAGATATTTCATTTAAAAAAAAATCCTTTTTCAAGAACTACAACGATCGGCTCATTTGGACTACAGCGTTTGTTTTCCGGTCTTTGTGATATCACAAAGCGGCTCATTGGAATACCATTACAAAGAATTCCCGCCTACAGAAATTCGAATGGTTGGGGGGTGGGGAGGGGCGAGGTTGTGGTTAGAA